AATAATTGCACTCATAATAATTCCCAATAAAAAAAAACTTTTTTTCTTGTTAACCTATAAAAAATAGTATCCATGGTCCGAAATCTTGCTTTTTTATTCGTTTTTTTAGCTGTTATTTCTATTGTCAATGCTATTCCACAACTAATTAAAAGACAAATTACATTTGAGAAATGTCCAGATCCAGAATCAGATAATGCAACCACCATCAATAAAATAACAATTGAACCTGATCCTTTGGTAGCTAATAACCCAGGCAGGGTTACAGGTTCTGCAACAACAGAAACTGAGATTACTGAAGACTACGTATTTGCTTTTGTTTTTTTTGATCAAAGCAAGAAAATGTTTGGCGGAAACTATACAACAATTTGTGATGACGGTAAAACTAAATGTCCAACTAAAGAATATAATATTGATCTTAAATTTGATGTTCCCGCTTTTACTTCATCCGACATTATGGCAGCTGCAATTCTTAATTATAAAACAAACATAACAATAGCTTGTGGTTATTCTCATTTTTCCTAATATTATAATATGATGCTAATGTATCCTTCAATTTGATTATTTATGTTTAAATGTTTTAATTGACGTTATTTGACATATTAAATACATAAATCATTTTATACCGGATATCTTCATATTTTTTTATGATAAAACTTAGGGTAAAGGTATTGTTATAGAATAGGATAGGATTAGATATAAATGTTCATTTTGAGATAGCATAAGGTTTTGATGTTTGGAGGTTCTGACCACTTTTACTTAAAGCATGACCTTAATTACTTAGTTTTTTAAGATATAGCAACCCGGTGAAGAACAATCCCGGTATAATTTAATCTTTTTCATCAATAAATTTGATTATCGTTATGTATTTAAAATATTTTAACGACATAGAATTAAGAGAACTAATCAGCTATCGCTATCGGATGTGTTACGTTTTTTTTAACATCAGTCTGTGTAACCAAAATCAAAATATGAATAAAATGTTATATCATCTCATAATCAAATTCATTACATTTACCTGTTGTTACAAACAGTATGACTTTTTTTAATGCATATTAGAACTTCATACTACCTGACTGTGATTGTGCGTTCTATTTTAAAAATTCCAAAACATATGACTTCTTATTTATTATTATGGAAATAAGATACAGGTACCGTATTCCGTCGCCAAAGTATCCGGCATGACAAATAATGTAGATCAATTTTTAAAATATTATTTGTATATTATGTGATGTGTAATACCTGTGATTTGAATTTTTTTCAATTGTGAAAAATTGCATCACATGGGTATTTTGTCGAATGGAATACGATACTGTTCTTCACACTGATACAGTTTAAGTAATGTGATCGTTTTTTTATAAATAATGTAGAATTATATAATATATAGAAAGAGATCAATTTCTTTTTATTTATAGTAAATAAAATTATGTAATTATTTTAATAATCGAGACAATAAGTATTTACAATAATTTATTGTGTTAAATTGGTTTATAACTACAATGATTATTTATCATTTAATGTATTAATAATAAGTTATTTATTTATTATTTAGTTGCTTTATGTTTGTTTTTATTTATATTTTCAGCATTAGATGTGCTTATAAGTCCATCAATTTTATTTATTCTTATTTAATTTAAGAATATTGATAATTGAAATATATTATTTTGCGCATATTGGTAATAAATTTTGAACATGAACCAAAAGTTTTACGGCATTATTGGTATATTCTATTTGAATTATTATTTGTACTTAGTAATGTGATTAAAACTCCGAATAGATATGTTCGGGTTAACTGAACGGGTTTGGGTTAAAATCCCGACAAGCGAAATCCCGACAAGTCATAATTCCGACAAAAAACTCCCGACAGCAAAAATCCTGACATCCCAACAATTAAAAATTTTAATAAAAAAAATATCATAAACCATAGCTAACCCAAGCCTAACGCTCATCTAAAGTCCCTAACCCTAAAGTTAATTAAATTATATCCCATATTTGGGATTTCTACCCGATTGTCAAGATTTTTAATTGTCGACTGTTGGGATTTTTTTGTCGGGATTTTGACCTGTCGGGGTTGTGCTTGTCGGGATTTTGACCGGCACCCAACTGAACAGCCTGTCATGGGTCGGTCTGGTCAATTGACTAACCTGATAATTTAGTCAGGCGTATTATCCGTTCGGCATGGCCTGATCTATGAAGTCAATTTATATCGTTCATCAAAAAAGTTTATGTTGCGTCATAATTAAAGTTCAAATAACGACAATGAACGACGAAGTTAAAATTTTTAATTTAGGTGGACCAATTTAATTCGGTAGTTTACATTGCATTCTTTCCCAGAAGAAAAAATTTATTGCATGCATAGTAACTTTTATAAAAATTTTTCCGATCGAAATTTTAGGCTTGACCTTGCTCGTATCTTGTGTTCGTTCATTTTCTTTTCGGAATTTTTTGGAACCGTTAATTCCTGCTTCTTAATCCTAACCCCTTAAATTATACATAAACGTAATAAAAATGTAATAAAACTTACACTAAATAGGAAATCGTATATATTTTTAGTCACTGAAATTGAGGATGCATTTTACAAACTCAATTTCGAAAGTTTGCCGATATGTTTACTGCGTTACAATATTTCGACAGCGTTACAATATTTCGACACTATGGCGTTACGGCATTACTGCAAATAATGCGGCGCATGCCGTTGCCGTATTAATTTGCCAAATTAATTCTACCACCAACTATATTCGAAACGAAATCTTTTTTCAAACTTTTAACGAAGATTTCTCAACAATTAATTGATCGAATTTAATGATTTTTTTTTTATTTTAATTCTATAAATTTGCATAATTAAAATAAAACAAAATTCATTGAAATCGGATAAGTAGTTATCTAGAAATCTTCGCTAAAAGTTTTTTTTTTTTAAAAAAAAAACTATGATATAATACTAAGTATTTTTATCAATAAAGAAAAACAGAAATACGCAGTATAATATAGTAATATTCTTATTCAATACCAGATTTTTCGCGTAAAATATATGAAACTTCAATAATTGATTATTATTTTATATATTTCAATCTTACGCATAAATGATTAACATTTCATTCTGATGCAATCTAGTTTTAAATTCACTCCCCTTCGAATCTGATGCGCGACATCCACATGAACATATATATATTTATTTAATATAAAAAAACATTTTACCTTTTAGAAAAAAAGCCCCGGCTGGGTTACGAGAAACAACTTTATTTATATGCGCAGCCCTATACTTAATTGATACCAGTTATTATGAAAATAAGAAAATTTTTAGTAACGACTACCAACAAGATTAGCCGATCGAACCGATGTGTGATAAACGAGTATCGTAATGGACTGACGAAACTCACGTGATCCGACGAACCATATAGTTTCGTCAATTTGTCAATGATGAAACGTACGAGTTTCGTTAATTCGTCAACGGCAAAATAGTTTCGTCAGGCATCTATAGAGTACCGCACCTACAGAACTATGCAATGCATATTTAATTCCTTTTTACAAATATTAGAAAGTTCGTTGATCCTTAATATGTATTGACCTTACTATGTTTCAGGTTTAAGCGTGACTACATCACGTAGCTGCCCTAATGATTAATAATGACAATTCTTATGTATTTCATGCCAATTTAACCAATAATTGAAGTATTCATAATTTTCTAATATATAGATGATCGAAAATATAGCATCAATTAGAATTTTAACTGGCCATTCAAACTTTTCTGATTGGTTAGTATCAATTATGGTTAAACTGGTCAATAATTAGTTATAATCGTAACCAAACCCATCACTAATTTAGCAAAAATTAATATTTTATTACAACTTATATCAATATCACTAATTAAGCAAAATTAAAATTTTATTACAACTTATATCAATTTAAAATTAATAAGAATTTGATTTTGATATACGATATTAATACTAACTACATTGATAAGAGATATAATAATCTTAAAATTTATATTCAAATTAACATAAAGTGCCTCTATAAATACGTTTCCACCTCTATTATAGTTAACATTTAATGAAATCAGAGTAGTATTATTATCAAGTCCTTTTAGCAACACTATTCCATCTAATAAATCAAGTTGATTATAAGAAATGTCTAAAAAATTAATGTTCTTACAAAACACTTTTGCTAAGGTGTTTCACTCTTATAATCAAAATAATCCTCCCAATACTAAAGGGCGATTGTTGGTCACGCAAAATTGGATCCCGTGAAGCGGGTTCCTATATATGTAATGTAACCTAAATTTCTATATAGGAACCTGCTTCGTAGGTTACAATTTACATTGATGTTAATTTAATTTTTAACAGAGATCCCGAGTAAATGGGGCATCTGTTTATTCTATTAACCCATCCACCCTTGACGACATTAAACGTTAATGTTAACATTAAATTAATGTTAATGTTAATGATAACATTAAATTAACATTAACGTTAATGTTAATGTTAACATTAATAACGTTAACGTTAATTTAAAGTTAACATTAACGTTAATGTTAATTTAATGTTAACATTAACGTTAACGTTAACGTTAATGTTAACATTAACGTTAACGTTAATATTAATATTAAAATTAACATTAACGTTAATTTAATATTAACATTAACGTTAATGTTAGCATTAACATTAACGTTAATGTTAGCATTAACATTAACGTTAATTTAACATTAACATTAACGTTAATTTAACATTAACATTAACGTTAATGTTTATATTAAAATTAATTACAATACATATTGTACATCTATGTCCAGATTACATCATCAATGATCTCTTTCGGCCTCTTTGATGAAGTCTGATAAATCATATGTTATACGAAAATTAAATCAATATTATTAAATTAATATTTATATTGTTATCGTTATATTGATTTAATTTTTGTGTAATATATGATTATTGGGCTACATCAAAGAGGCCGGAAGAGATCGTCGATGACATTTTTTTGTCATGACTTTAATTATTCAATTATTAGAGTATTTATATTAGTAACCAAAAAAAAATTCAAGTAAAAATTCGTGCTGTTAGACTAGAATTAATATTTTGGTATTATATTATAATTATAAAACATTTCTTATACCAAAATTTTACAAGAAAAATTTTTTATTAGGGTATAGAAGACGGGTTCATATAATGAATTTAGAGTTATAGACGATTTACGTTGCACCTGATCGTGAAATTAGATTGGCTCTGATAAATAATTAGTACAGCAAATCAGACCCGATGTATTATATAAATTACTTTGTTACGTAATTTACGAAATTGTAATGTAACGTAACTTTTTATTGATTAGATCTTACATAGCAGTGCCACAAAAATTCTACTGTCATGTGATTGTATAAAAATTTCTTAATATTAAAGTCAGTAATTACGTTAGAGTTTAAGTTAGGAAAATATTAGTAACTTTGCTCAAGGAATTTTTTAATTAGAGCACAAAAAGGTGGTTGCTTATGCTACTTTTCGAGAAATAAACAATTTTAAAAAAGCGAACGTTTGTTT